AACTCAGGCCCTTCTGCATCAAATTCACCACCAGATACCAACAACATGTCAGGATTTTCATCAGTTGCTCCCAGTAGACCAGGATCTCCTGGTGGATCTAAGCATGGTTCGACTACCAATCTAGCGGCAGCTGGTCAAGGAGATAATGGGGTACCAACAACTTGTACGAACTGTTTTACACAAACAACACCTCTCTGGAGAAGAAACCCTGAAGGCCACCCACTTTGCAATGCCTGCGGTCTCTTCCTCAAGCTCCACGGTGTTGTACGTCCCTTATCCTTGAAAACTGATGTCATCAAGAAGCGAAATAGAGGATCTGGTGCTACACTTCCTATTGGTAACTCGGGTGGCGCTTCAACGAGAGCTTCTAAGAAAATGGGCACAATGAGCAGTGGACCCAACACTAGAAAGAACTCGATGGTTGCAGCAACAAGTATGGTCAACACAGCCCCTCAAACTCAAGTAACAACACCTACTAGCAGTCATGGAAGAAATGCAAATGAGAGTGCAAGTCCCCCTTCAATCACAGGTTCATTAGGAAATGGAGGAAGCACTGCAGGCAGTACTCCAACTTCTTATCATGGTTCTGCGGGCTCTTCTTCAGGCACAGCCGGTGTCAGCGGAGGCAAGGGCGTAGTCCCTATAGCGGCAGCTCCACCGAAAGCAACACCCGGCCCTGGTGCAGCATCTAGTATGCCTCGATCAAATGCAGTGCCCAAGCGACAAAGAAGACACAGCAAAAGTGTTAGTGCAATTGAGAGTATGGATATCGATTCGCCTGAAGCTTCTACTGGTAGCAATGAGGCTGCGAAGTCTATTGGTATGGGATTGATGGGTAACAATGGATCTATGGGCCTAGGCAATGGATTCGGTATGCCAGCAAGACCAATGATGGGACAAGGAGGTTCTGGAATGCAAATGGGTATGGGAGGCTCACAACATGGAATGACTATGAATGGTCAAAATGGACCTAATGGCTCCGGTGCTGGTCCTCAAGAATGGGAATGGCTAACCATGAGTCTCTGATGGAGCTTCTTTGTCGTTCTCTTTACCAATGACGTCACTGGGCGTTCTTTCCTTCCTATGATATTTTCTGGGGTTGGCGGCTACAATTGATTGTTCATCGGAGTTACTTATACTCGGCCTTTTATGATACCAGCGAGGATTCGCGCTTTACATTTTAAGATACAAATGATACGATGATGATGCTTTTTCTTTCTTAATGGATCGAATCAACGTAATGCATCTCAGGTTATATACCCCATGAAGGGGCGGGAAATATTGGGAGGCTCTTTTTAAACTTGTTTTTTCCTTCTTTTTTCAGCATAAAGAGCTTTGATATCATGTTAATTTTCCTTCTATTCTATCCACTCGTTCGATCCTCTAGCTCTTGTACTCAGAGTAAGAGAAGTGAGACTTTGATCGTGCGAATTTGATTTTTCTCCTTTTACATTGTGTGTGAAAGATTTTGAGGGTTGAGAGGTTATGATCATGGTATTTGTATTTGCGCGCGAGCTATTTGCCGCAAATACGGAGGATGGGTATGAACTGTACTGGGTTGGTTGACGTGGGTGGATATGATAGGGGTTGGCCTTGGCTTGGTTCGATTTTACTCTTGTTTTTGCTTGTCGATTTTTAGTCTTTCTGCCGGAGCAGCGCATCAAGGGTTTGAGGGGTTCTTTAATGACATGATTTGATATCCGGATAGACGGGGTTTTATAGGGGCTTCTGTTTCTCGGGGGCATGGAGAGGTAGGGAAGAGCGTGCTGGCTGTGCTGAGTGGATTCACGGGGTTCAAGGGATTGATTGGATTGAGTCGATGGATCTGACTTTGGTTGTTGCGCTTGGATGGTTGGTTGGAAGAGCGATGGCAATGGGGATGGGGATGGGGATGGAATGTAGTAGAGTGCACAGAGAGACCAGAGAAGAGGAGAGAAGATGGCGGAGATACTATGATAGTGGTAGTGGGAGAATAATATGACCTTAATTCATTTGATTGATTGATTTTGACTTCCTTTGACTTTGATTTTTATCTGGATTTGTGAATGGTGAATCTAGTGAATCCAATGCATGAGAGAGAAGATTGATTATTTTGAAAGTTGTTGAATATTGACAGGTAGGTGTTATGAGCAGTAAGAGACCTACATGCATGAGTTTATTAACATCACAGCGAAGGTGTCGAGATGAATATTCCTATGTTAGTATAGAAGACGAGGTACTCGTTACTCCATGATCTCAGATCTCCCAATCGTATGTAGTATGTGTGAGCATTTTCTGGTGAGGTTGTGAGGTTGTGAGGTTGTGATGGAGTTTTTCTTGATTTTGATTTTGATTTTGATTGCAGAAATGGATGTTAGATTTGGAGAGTTGAAGGGTTGCAGGACTGAATAGTTGGAGGGATGGAGAGTTGGTAAAGTTGATGGAGTATGTAGGTAGATAAGTGGGTAGGTGGATGGGTGGTGTTTGTATTTGTACAGTTGTTGGTTTGCTGCATGAGCTGCGCGGATTCTGGTGTGTTGGGCGTTGGTTGTATTATTCCTTGGTATGGGAAATTATGTTATATTTATATATCATATCTTCCGGGGAATGGTGGATTGAAGATTGAAGATTTTTTGGAGATTTCTTTATAAGTTGGGGGGGAGTCACTTGAAGCTAGCTAGCTGGCTGTGATATTTCTTCATGTACTTGGGTAGGGGAAGGTGTTTATTAGAATTCTTAGTTGAGGAAACGGGATTTTTCGTTTTTATAAATTGAAATGTTTACTTATATTGCTACATTTTCTTTTCTTTCTTTCCCTTTTTTTTCTCTACACAGATGTCAGAATACCAAAAAAGCTTGATTTATAGGAATAATACAATCTCAATCTGGATCTGGATCCGAAAAATCTATCCATCCTATCCCTTAGAATTTGATTTCCTCCTCTATGGTTGGTATATCTACAGATATTCCATATTCCTCCTCACGACATCTCGCGGATGATCATTCTAACTTCTAGGGTGAATACCCGATAGACATGTACACTTGAGAATGGAAGCAACATAGATATAAAATTTGACCGCGCTATACTACCCCAATGTACTAAAAAAGATTCATCCCATCATCCAACATCCGTAACCACGTTCAAAATTCGGCCCCCACTAGTTGATATTCTCCTTTCATCGCCAACGACGCACCATATGAATCTCATTCTCTTTGTTTTCTACAAACAGTGCCCTGATACTGACATTCACACACACACATAAAATATCCCCTTAACGCCTATCATCAAAATTCTCCCATCGATCTATATAAAAGACAAAAGACACGTCTATCCAGCCCACATCTTCCTTCTCGTACTTCCTACTCACTGACACCTTTAAAGAACAGCTCTTGCACCACCAGCGACTTTCCCCCGAGACTCTAGGGACACATTCAGTCTCTTGATCACATGCCACACACATACCCTCTGGATGTTCTAGTAATATTACATAGATACATTCGTCTACGACGAGCTGGTATCTATATCTAGGATGATATCTCTCTAAATTGATGTAATAGAAATTGAGAATTATACACTTGGTGTCGTTCACTAGACAAAAGCCTTCTCGTAATAGGTATTCGCTGCTAGTAGAAAGCATGCGGACGTCTATCTTATTCTAGATGAGTGAGCGCCGGCCCTGTTTTGTCTATTCGAATGATAAGTCGACTTGAGTACAATCTAAGTACGTGGTATATGAATTTTGTAATATGGAAATCAGACAACAAGATAAGATATGTATCTTAACAAAGACCAATTCATAGAACCCTGATCAAGCAAATCATTTACGAGAAGGAAAGTCGAATCCTCAGTTAAAATCTCTACAGCCTCGGGTTAACAAACTCTTATGTGAGAGTGTAGGTATCCATAGCCAGATAATTTGGTCTTCTAGAGTCAAGCAAGATAAGGCTGGATAGACATAAAAGAATTTTCAGATAAACATCAAAACAAAACAATCCAAGTCGGGATTCGCGAAAGAAAATTAGACAGCCAAGAAGGCCAGTACTACCAGAAACCCAATATCCGAGGAATGCTTGAATGGCGCACTAAGATGGACGCCGAACACCGTTCACCTCGTAGGTTTGGAGTGATGACCAGTGATAGAAGCGTCCGACAGAGAGAAAAAATGAGACTAAAATCATGCGTCATAATCTCCTGAGAAATTTCAGGATACTTTAGAGCGCCTGTTCTTTACACTCTGAGAGCGAAGATGAACTAGCAACTTGTATGAATACGAATGATAGAGAACATGAAAGGAAACAGACAACTTTGAAGCTCGCTTCATTGATAATTTGGCATTGTACGATAGCGATCAAGAAACCAAACGGCAATTATACTATGGCCTTCATCTCGCGAAGTGCACAAGGAAGAAATAAATATGTTGTACACATAGGATGGAAAACAAGAAAATATGTAAGGAACGCAGAAAAGAGATGAGACCAAGATCCACAACGGTAGTCAAGTGAGGTTGACGATAGTCTGACAGCTTGGTGCCTTTGACAAGTAATGTAAGTTGAGACGTAATGGACGCGACAGTATGACTTCAGTGCGGAGTGTTTCATTCAACTCGTAACATGGCCTTTACTTTTGTATCATATATTGGTGGCGTGTGTTCAGAACACAGCGAGAAAAATGTGAGGAAAACATTGAAACCTTTGATTGTCGTCAGATCCCTATGAAATCTAGGAGACCGAGATTCGTGGCCAGAATCTCTAGTACCCCTGGCCGATAGCTGGCCCATAGCCATTTCTCGAGACCTCGGTCACCTCTCCGCACAAGTGGACCGCCCAGTTCGCCTCTAGCATTTTGCAGCGTAAGAAAACATCGTAATATCACATCACATCTGCAGAAATCAATGAACAAGTATTGAGACGGAGAAAGATCAAGATAACATTGATCTCAATTCAGCAGCAAACCACTTCCTCAGATGTACATATACGCCCATTAAAGAAGATTGCTTTACCTCCAACCAATGGATTCCCGTCCGAACTTGAAGTAGATATTCTCTAGTTCCTGAATCGTAATCGTAAACCCATCGTGGTGAAATTCTTGTGTATAGTAACAAGCAACGCCCCTCTTGTTCCCCATCCATCAGTTTTTGGTTATTTAAGCTCCTGGGTTGGGGTTCATCTATTTCCTGAGTTAGCAAACTATCTTGAATTCGATAATTTTTGTGATGTTGTCGAACCTTTCTCTTGCCACCGGTCAAAGTAACGTTGACGAAACGACGAACGAACTTCTCTCTCTTGGCAGCACGTCCCTTAGGGCGCTTCTTCTTCTCTTGTGGCTCAACCTATTTGTAACAATATCGTATTAGCATGATTTGATTCATCAAGATCATGTAGCCTTTCAAAGTATCCCATTCCCATGTCTATTCTCCCGTGTTGCTGCCTAAGTGACCCTCAAAGAGATCTTGTTCGCCACTCCAACGCGCCCATTTCGATATCCATGACTTCCATTGAGAATTATATCAAAAGAATCGTACCTTTGGTGTTTGAGACTTGACCTTTCCGGCACGAGCGAGGGATCCGTGAACCTTTCCCATGATTGCGGTTTATCGGGATATTGTCGATTGATATTTCCGATAACTGTAAAAGTGGCAAATGTAAGCGGTGATGTTCTTCCCCTTGGGATGCAAATAGATCGGTTTCGCAGAGATGAAGAAATCAATTCGAGAATCTGCGGGCAATTCTAGAGATGGCAGGAACCGTAGATTTGATGAAATAATATGGGTATACGTACGCGGTTGCTGAGTTGTTGGGTTGTCGATGGATTGGTGAGATGCGTCAGTATACTCTTTCTTTGCTGCTTACTCTAGCGCCATCGCTTGATGTTTCGCACTAAAATTGCTAGGGCTTCGAAATTAGGCAGCCCTTTGTATCAGATCACGTGATATTTGCTACACTGAAGAGAAGCCATCTTCTCTTCTCGGTCTTCATTTCTTACGCAGAAGAACACCAAAATACAACACGAACATGCTCAATCGGCATAGCAATTTATTTCTTCCATTAATCAATACATAAGCTCATGGGATTGTCCTCACACTGCACCGTGCTGTACTCGTCTCGAAACTTTGAAGATTTTATTATTTGTTCCAGTCTCTAATAAAGGTACAATTTCAAATTGATAACGAGCTGTGTCAAGATATTCAATCACATGAACGCCAAGAGATCTTATCGTTATCAGATCCATTGTTATCACCGTGACGGCGGAATCCTTTCCGACTTTCGGATTAATACCCGGGTCTTGTTCACGAGTACCATCACATCTCATCAGCGGTAAGGTTACAAACCATCTTACTATGTAACTATTACATAGTGAATGTTGATTTTCTATTGAATATTTACCATACAAATATATCTTTATTTGGCCCCCATCACCTCTCAACATTTATTCTGCTTCCTCAAGCTCTTGCGCAATGTACCTCTCAAAAGCTCCTTTGGGAGCCTTGCTCTTGAGCACTCTCCTTCAACTTACAAGCAGTTCATCTCTACCAATCGACATTTCCACTCCAGAGCAGATCATCAACAATCCATCCTCTGCCGAATCTACAAATCGCATACCTACATCCCGCGAAAGCGCCATTCTCGCCCGTCGCATTCTCCATCTCACGCCACTCGGAACCCTCTCGAGCATCTTCCCCAACTCATCATCAACTTTCGAGAACCGCCCCTCCAATCTGCAAAATATCCCCATCGGGCTCATGGATTACATAGCTGACTGTGAACCGACAACTAACAATCCTACCATCCTCGCTCTCAGCATAGCAACCACCTTCAAAAACGCAGTCTCAAACCCAAATATCTCTCTCTCCCTATCTTGGACCCCTCCTTATCCTCCTAAATCCCGCATAACATCCAAGCGAGACCCATTCGCATTTTCGGCTGCAAACCAACCGCGGTTCAGCATCCTGGGATACCTCGAACCCATCACTATTTCGCCTGCAGAAGATCAAGAATTAAGACAATGTTTTGTTGATACTCATCCCGATGCTAAATATTGGTTACCAGGTAACCATATTCATCACAGTGAGTGGGTTCGCTTGGTTGTGCAGGAAATTTACTGGATAGGAGGATTTGGGGATCGCGCGTATATCGGTTGGATACCTATTGAGGAGTGGAGGTCTGTCGAGAGAGAAGAGTGGGAGAAAGTGAGATTGGTAGGAGAAAAGAAAGGATGGAAGGAATGGGCGGTTGAGGGATTAGGATTGGGAGGTTCTTAGGAGTTGTGATGCTAGGAAGTTGTTATGAGAGCGATTGATAATAACTATGAATATGTATACTAGTAACTTTAGTAGTTAATTATACCTTGCTCAATGTATCTCCCGTCAAATTTTAACCTTCTTTGTCTTTGTTGAAAGATAATTGAGTAACTAATCTATGGTCCAATTTTTACAAGACAGGACCGAAGGGGTTGATATCGAATTGTTAGTTACAATGTCTAGCTGCAAGTAGATCAATGAGTGACACGTTTTTCACATGAAGAAAATAATCACAATCAGCTCAGAATTTTTACGTATTATCCTTATTAACCCAAGCTCTCTAACTCTATCCTACAATAATCAAACCGAACTTCTACCACGTACACCCTTCCTGATGCAATGCTGTAAACCCCCCACAAACAAAGTTCCCAAACACGAAGCCTAGCGCCGACTTAAATACCTCTACTCTGCCCATCGTGCCAAAGGTTTATCAAAAAGCTCTTTACCAGTGAGGAAATGCAGCAAAAGGGACTCCAAAAATGCAACAACCAGAATTTCCTTCAGCCGATCACCATGATAACAACCAGCGTGAAACTTTACGCCGACGATGCAAGATTACCTCTTCACTCTCTTGGAAGATCCATTGCTGTCCGAATCAACCAAAACCCTCTTATTCGAACTAGCCACGGAAGAATTACTCGCCGGGCCCTCACTCGAATCATCTCGGTCCCCTCCAACCTCAGCTTCAAACAACGAATCTAAGCTCGACAAGGTACTGGAATCTGAATTCGATCTTGCCCTCCTTATGCCCCTCTCTGCAGGGATACCCGTTCCATTCTTTTCCCGATGCGATTGCAACCGAAGTGCGAAGTTATTCAGGGGATTGGGATTTCGATGAACATGCTCAGAAATGAATTCCCATGCCGTAGCCCAGCATTGAGCGTTGACTCGTAGATCTTTGTGTTTTAATCGTAGAAAGCGACGGAGGGATTTGATGTCTGAAAGAAGAACGTCGTCTGATCGCCTGTCTTTATGGTATGATATGAGAATACCTGTGGCTACTAATTCCAGTGGCGAAAATGTGCGGACGTGGTTTACATCCGCCTCCTTTAGAAATTCAGGAGCAGGATCGAATACTGAATTTTTTTGAACTTCGTATTGGCCGTCTGGTAACTTCGTAGAAGATAACTTGATCAGCGATTCAAACCTGTCGAACACGTCCTTGAAAGCGAGTTTAAGACCCATAGATATTGGTTCTGGATCTTCTAGGACCCGCATAAGTGCTTGGGGACTGGCCTGGAGTGAGGGCACAGTTTTCCTCCTCCGACCATTGGTTGATCCAGAAAGAACTTCTTGAATCATAGTAAAGATAGTGAGAATAAGGCGAAAGCCTGATGCACGACTTTGCTTCGATACTAATCACCCTTTAGCCATATTCCTCGCGTAAACTATAGGGGACTTACAATTGATCACCATAGCATAATCATCCTCATATATGCGGGTGAATCTAGCCCATTCAGTGGACATTGCTCTCATTTTCTCGGCTGGCGATAAAGCAATTCCCCGTTGGACAAGCTGGAACATGGTTTCTTCAGTCTCTTGTGTCAGATGGTCGTACTCATAGCAACAGAAGACCTTGTCGTCGAAAAACTTCTTCAATCCGCCTGGACAAATATTTCTGTTGCTAGTCGGTGTCAATACACCGTTGATAGTCGGATGACAATAGTACCATTTTTTCGGCGGGTGTGAATTGTCGAGGAAGCCGATCTCTCCGCTCATGAACTTAAAAAGCGAGGTCAAGCGTTGCTTTCCATCAACACAGATGCGCATATGCTTCACCTCTTTCCGGCCGTCCTTTAATTTGTTGATTACTGTTTGGACATTAAGAACGATTGGGGGAATGAAATATCCCATCAACACTGAAGTAATAAGAGTAGAAGCCCGCCCTTCGTCCCATACACTAGCTCTCTGATAGTTTGGATCTAATACTAGATTCCCCTTGACGATAGTATTATAGAGCATTCTTAAAGGCCTCTTAACGATCATTGGTGCAGGAAGTTGTCGGATCTTAAACCCTTATGTGTCTCCATTAGCACGCGGTAACATAGTATTTCACTCGCCAACTTACCTGGACAAACAAAGTGTTCAATACCATTAATGAAAACCAAACCTTCAAAATTTCCATCCACATATTCAGACTCTTCGTCTTCGACATCTACGTCATCGAAAATACCATCTTCTGCGACATCCGGTAAATCCAGTTGCAGAGGTTCATCTCCAGAATCTTCATTCTTTATTAGCTTTACCTCGACAGGCGAGCCTGGCTTGATTTCCACTCTTGCCATAATGAAAGACAGTAATGTCTTGGATACGTATTAAGAAGTGCCCACTGTATCGCAGTATTTGTGCAGATATCCGAATTCAAATCTGACATTCACGATCAGGATACAAAATTCAGTAGAAGGTATGTGACTGTAGCAACGAGCTTAAAGAGTCATCGACCAATTGCAATATCAGAGATACGAAGAGTCATGTGACGTCTTTGGAAAGAGAAAGTGGCGTGATGCTTGAGGTGATTATTAAATTAGCCTACGATAGTTAGTCAGTAACACAATGCCATCGCGTGAAAAAGGGGCGAGATAATAAGCCTATGAGAGCTCGGGGATCTACAGCACTTGTATTTGCGTCGTGCCAACAGAAAGGAACAGTTCCAATACATCAGAAAAGTACTAAGAACATTGTTGAAGCACCCGTGAAGGTAATTGAACAGCTTTGAGTTCTGTTTCAAACCACTGGGCAAGATGATATCCAAAGACAGCGGTGGCGGCCTTATAATGCTACACGTTTACCGCTTGGCATAATGTCTGCATGATAGGGACAGACAAGAAATCGGAATGGGGGTACACATGGACAAAGAAGATCATAAATATTGGCCAACTCACAAATTGTTCTATAGCTGGCAATGATTCTTTCTGAAATGTAATGTTTAGATATTGATTGCCATTTCATCATTACCTAGTGAAGCGCGTGTTTGTTGGACATGACGAGAGCATTGGGTGGGTTGGTGGGTCTTGTTGGTCTTAAAGCGTTTCCGGAAGGTGGGGTACATTTAGTCTAACTTTCTTTGTGCTAGTGTTGAAGCTGCTGTCTGGATCTTCTAAGTATTCAAACATCTAATAAGATCCTTTCTTGGAGCCTCTCATCTATCATTGAATATTCTAGATAATTCGTCAATTCGCATGAAGTCAATGTTTGAGATAGATTCGGGGAGATCACACAATCGAAATCGATACATCACGGGAATCTAGACATGGAAGTTTTCTTCCTTTGACGAGTACATTCTTTGAGATCATTCTGAAATCTGCGGGAAATTCTGCAATTGCTAGAGTCTATATAATTCTTTCGCCCCTAGAGCTTCTGTGCGTAACAATCAAACTGTAGAAGAATAATGCTGCTTCTATGAAGACAATTTTGATGGTACTTCCAAGAGTCATCTGCCACCTGTTTTGAGTTTGGCGAATCACTCGCTACATATACACCAGAAACAAGTGGTACGCCAGAACCAGGATGGGAAATGATGAAATGAGAGATTGGATGAAATGAATTGAACAGCATTGTAAACAATATCCTAGTAAAACACCTTGAACTCCACCTTGAAGTCCTTTTATTGGGTATCATCAACGCCACTATAATCATTCATACCATCCCGTAGAACTTTGGTGAGAACTGCTGCAGCTCTGCCGGCTTCACCAGCTTCCCTTTTAGCATGCTCCACTCCGATGAGTAAATCTGCCTCAAATCTTTTATGGAAAACTCTTTGACGATCTTCCCTATCGATATACATTTCTCCTTCTTCATCTCTCGATGATCCAAAAAGATTGAGATGCGCATATACGTTCGCTCTAGAAGGTATCATATGTCGCTCGACATCGAAAAGCGGGAAATTATTTCCATTCGTAGTAGGCTGCACAACCATTTCCGGTTCCACAAGGCCAGCCTTGAGAAATTGGGAAAGCACCATCAACTGTCTTGGAAGAGTTTTCCCCGACTTCTCAAAACTAGTCCTACTTATTCCAAAACTAACTCTACTTGCAGATGACCATTTTGACGTTGCGCTACTTGTAGTCCAGCCTATCATTGACATGAAACTTTTCAATGTTTTCACCCACCCACCCGGACATGAAACTATATCTTCTCCTGCAACTTGAAGAAGCCATTCTAATACGGCTAAAGCATCAACTCGAATTTCAGTGGCCAAATGTGTCATACCAGCTCTTGTGTATAGTAAGGCGGATTCTGCTCGATCACCGATATCTGCAGGTGGTAAAAGTCGAAGGAATTTGAGGAGCTGTGCTCGCACAGAGGCGTTTCCATCAAGGATCAAAGGTAGGAGTTTCGGGAGAATAACAGCAGTTGGGAGGGGTATTGATTCGTTTACGGGTTGAGAAGAGAGTTGAGTTGTAAGATATGCGAGCGCATCCTTTCGCTGAGTGTCTGATTTCGAGGTCGATGCCAAAGAGAGATAATGAGTGAATTGTACAACATTCGAAGGTGCAGCAGTTTTAAGAGATTGTTGATTTACAACAATTGATTTGGACTTAAAACTGGTGTCTGTAAAGTTATCGGCTTTTGCTTTAGTCTTGCCAACTCGAAGTTTCACTTTCTAGGAATATGAGTCAATTGTGTAAACAGAAATAGGGGAAAATATTCTTACTTGAAAGTCCTTCTTCTTTTCCCTCTTTTTTCTCGCACTTGAACCCATTGCAAATAATTACTATTATGGAAAATGATGCCTTTGGAATAATCTGGAAACTGCAAAATAAAAAAGTTCCCAACTAGGGTCCCGGAATAACTAATTACGCCGCATTCCGATGATACCCCTGCACATGGGTATCATTGATTGTTTACAGCACCCATTTGTTTTCACAACTCACTGATTGTTCTACATTCACAATATGCCTCAGACGACCGACCAGCTTACTGTACGCTATGTTGAACTCTGTTTCTTGCAAGAATTTACTAACAGTAACTGAAGGGCAGCGGCGCAGAAGCTTTGGCAGAGACTCTTGCACGACTCTCTAAGAAACCCGGGGTAGAGGCGACACTGGTGCTCGAAACCTCCAGTGGTACCATCATTCAGAACTCGGGATCGTTTTCAGCCTTCCGCTCTATCTCTAGATCAAACAATCCTAGTGTTTCGACGGAAGATTCGAGTACACCGGCCAATACGGAGAGCCAAGGGATAGAGGAATTAGCTTCCATGGTATGGAGTTTTGTGAAATCAGCCGGGGGACTTGTGCAGGGACTAGATGTTGAGGTTTGTTGAAATCGAACTGTGATGTGGGAATGCCAATCTGACAGAATATTAGGATGAGGTTAAACTCCTGCGTCTACGAACGAAGAAACACGAGCTTGTGATTGTTCCGGATCCAAAATACATTCTCGTTGTTGTGCATGAAACACCCCCAGCTTAAGAAGAAGCGCAGGAAAATTTAGTTTACACATATCGATGGAACGGCGTTCAATACCCAAGGAGCATTTTACGGCGTTATAGTTTATATGAGAGGATATCTTAATGACATAAACCATGCAAATTTGTTTTCCAATGTGTGGTCTATTCAGTGCGTACCCCTGGACGTCAATGTGAATTTCAGAGTGACAAGCGAACCATTATCGAAGGACTGGATGATTGGAGAAATATAGAGTGGCCGATTCAAGATGTACCCCTTGAAGTCAAGAGCGATCTTGTGACATTTCGCGTGGATATAAAACTCCTCAAAGCCGCAAGTTCCCATATTGTATCTCGGATATGAAGTGTATTTTTCAACTTAGCCATCGACCAGTCTTTGATATAGACTGGGCGACTGTTGTTAGAAGTCTAGAGAATCTTCAAGAAAATGCTTGACGTGGATTTGAAAATCAAATACTTATTCTTGAAATCAGACTGCTTCACGATTATACGAAGAAGCTTTCTTTTTATGTTTTGAACTTTCTGTTTTATAGTTCTCCGACTTTGGTCTGTCAGCTTTGCGGTTTTCCCCCGTCCAAGACTGAACGTTGGAGGACTCAGCGAAAAGCGACGGCCAGTTGGATGTTTCTTCTCGTACTAGGTATTTCCTTCCCATTTTCGATCTTACCAATTCCTCTTCGACAACCTTATCTTTACCGGAATTAACCCAACCATTAAGAATGTTCTAATATTTGACATGAAGTCGTGCGGATTAATGCACAATATCTTATCCCGGAGTGATGATGGTGCTTTGGTACATCTTGCGTGCTCACTAGCCGCATGAACGCAATTGGTCGATCCCACCCAGTTTGTGTATCACGAAGAATAAAAAATATCGGCGACCAATAATCACCCAAGAATGAGCCATATATCACGGTATTCATCTATCTAAATTTGCATGGTAAGTGATGGTGGCCATTGCGATTGATGATAACATGTGCGTCAATTTTCACACCACCCATGCTTGCGGAGACTAGATCTGGTCTGCATATTCGACAATGGTTCCTATATATACTATATATCCAAGTCTATCCCAAATTTTACAGATGACTGCTAAGTAATAGTAATTCAACTTTGAACATGCCCGTACAACTTCTTACCCAAGCCGACGGCTATGGCATCATTGTGGGATTATCAATCCTCTTCTGTCTCATCATCCTCGCAGCCGTTCGCATCCAAAAAAGATATCTCTCAGAAGACAGCGATCAATCCGAAATGTTCATGGTAGCAAATCGTTCCGTTGGTACCGGACTCACTGCATCCGCCGTATTCTCAAGCTGGTAATTCCATACATACATCCATACTTCACCCATTCCATTCTGACCCCCCGAGAACCCCATACTAACCAAACTCCACACATCTAGGATGTGGATCAACAAAAGTGTCTTCTCAGCAGCCTACACATATAAATGGGGCATCGCCCTCCCCATCTGGTGAGCCAGCGGTCTCTCCTTCCAAATCGCACTTATGGCTGTACTGGGTATTGTAGCTAAATTGCGGGTTCCGTATGCGCATACCTCGCTTGAGTTTATCCGCATGAGATACGGAAATTACGCGCATTGGATTTTTATTGTGCTGAATCTTATTAATAATATTTTTGGATGCGGGAGTATGATTTTGGCGGGGGCGCAGTTGGTGAGGGGTATGACGGGGATGCATGTTGTGGCGGCTTGTGTGTTGATTCCGGTTGGTGGTGAGTAATTTTGATGGGATTTATGAAAGAAAGGGCTATGGGAATGAGAATGTGGAAGGTGAATGTTGACTTGTTGCTTTGTAGTTGTCATTTATACGGCTGTGGGAGGGTTGAAAGCGACGTTCTTGACGGATTTTCTCCATACTACTGTTGCTCTGATACTCTTGATCTACTTCTCGCTAGCGGTTCTGACCAATGAGCATATTGGGGGTATATCAGGACTCTATGAGAAAGTCAAGGCTACGGATGACTATATCCCCGGAAACTATGAAGGTTCACTCCTGACAATGAAATCCAAGAGCGGTAAGTGAAATCTATAGACTTGCGATGTCCCTCTCAATCAAATATCAATCCTAATCACCTCAAAAGCCGTCTTATTCGGTCTCGTCCTAAAATTCGGCAATCTTGCTCTTGTCCTCATGGACACCGCATTCTGGCAAAAATCCTTCGCGTCCGAAGTCCACTCCACAGTCCCAGCATACGATCTCGTCTCCATCGTCATCATCGCAATCCCATGGTGCACCGGAACCATCATTGGACTCAGCGCCCGCGCAATCGAAAAAACTCCCATCTGGTTCGACTACCCCAACACACTCACCACCACCCAAGTAAATTCCGGCATGGTAATGCCATACATTCTTCGCTCTCTATTAGGTCAAAGCGCAACCACAGGTCTACTCGTCCTTGTATTCATGGCCATCACCAGTACAGTATCTTCATCCATGATCGCAGTGAGCAGTATCATTTCTCTCGATTTATTCCGCACCTATATCAATCCCGCAGCTTCAGATCGCAAGACCCTGAAAGTCAGTCACTGGGGCGTCGTCTTCCATGGTTGTTTCATGGCTGGCTTCGCAATCATGCTCGAATATGCAGGAGCCACAAATAACTGGTCAACGTATTTCCGTCCCATCATCGCGTGTCCGGGGATCCTCCCCATGATCTTCACGCTGCTTTGGTCGCGACAAACAAAGGCAGCAGCTATACTAGCGCCGATTTTGGGTTTGATGTCGGGGGTAGCTACGTGGCTTAGTCTCTCGTGGTATTGGTCTGGCGCCTTGAATATCCAAACAACGCAGGTACAGGTTCCAGGTTTGTATGGCGCTATCGTTTCGTTCTTTTCACCGGGGATATACTCGATTGTGATTTCGATGATTTGGCCAAGCAAATTCGATTGGCGCGAGTTTTTAAGAATTGGACTTATCGAGGATAAAAGCCAAGCAACCAGCTCACTGACATCTGCACTTCATAGTAATGAAGCTGTCAATCAAGTCACTCATGCGGAAGATGAAACGAAGAAAGAATCCTACACCACCAGTGGAGATGAGGCCGGTCCTCCTTCTCCTCCTTCTATGACACCAAACTCCCAACTTCTTCTTGATGATGTGGTTCACCCGTTCGGAGACGAGATAATTAAACACATCAATAAGTGGCTGAAAATTGCTATTGTATTTTTTGTGGTTAATGTGTTGGTTACGATTGTGTTGTGGCCGATACCACTATATCGCGATTGGATCTTTACAAAGAGTTTCTTTAGCGGATGGATTGTGATGGCGATTGTGTGGCATTTTTTTGCGATTTTGGCGGTGGTTGTTTATCCCATTTGGGATGGGAGGATTGAGATTGTGAGGGTGGTGCAGGGGATGAGGGGGGAGTGGAAAAGATAGATGTAGACGAGAGGAGATGCGTGGATGGGGATGGACGATACCTGGGTCTTGATACATAGGTTTTGTGGTTATGGTCTAGACAATATGTAGAATCAGGTTTCGAACTAGTTCCATTGGATACCACACGATATGTTTCTAAGCACTTGGAACTCTCATCTGTGCAGTTGAGAGAATATGTATTTACGTTAGAGATCAGCCCGGATACTACGAGAGTGACGTCTGATAGATCAAAAGAGTGTCAAGAAACGACTGATTGAAACCCGCATATTGAGAAGTTATTATGTGAAGGTATTATTAGTCTTGATCCAATGTATATCTGCAGGATACTATTCTCTAGTATTCGTCGAGTAGAAACAGGATAGTAGGTACTACTAGAAAGGTATCCATATCTTGGAGAAATCATTCTCGGGTGCTTGTCCGAAGTCAAAGAGAGTACTGTTAGAAATACATAAAACTCAATCCCCAAGACGTGGGAAATAATAATCCTCCATCAAAGACATGAGAAATAACATCAACAGTAAGATATTTCTGCAACCACTTTGGAAGGAAGAATGGGATGACATTATCAAATGCTAAAATTCGAAATGCATATCTGGAAAGACTTCTAAGACGTAAATAGAGTACTAATCAATATCTATTCGGTGTTTGAGAATGAAAGAGATGCTGATGTAGTGGCTAAGTCTTCTCTCAAATATCGTGGTATTTTTGTTTCATTCATGAGGGATGATTGTCCTTGATGACCTCCAGCGGCGATGATTGCGTTATTACCACAAGCCCTTATGTGTCTTGTGCCATCGATTCCTCTATCATTGGCACTTGATATGTTTGTGATCGTTAATTGATGTTCATATAGAGATTTCTCGTTGAATGAGATCCAATCATGAAGTATGGGTCATAAGTGTGGGATGAGACGAACATGCTGTATGTACCCACTAAAGGATAGCACTTGCTGAATGGCAGAATGTACCTAGGTAGATATTTAAGTAGATTGGAATATATTCATACTCAGGATATAATTGAAATGCCTCCTGAACATCGGAAAATAATGTCTAAAGTGCTCAATCTGAGAAGCTAATCAGGACAATAGCATAAAGTGAGAGACATCATGACACCGCCAATTGCATTGCGGTCAGCCTTCAAGACAGCTTCATAGGAACGTTTCAGTCTGATGGAACTTATAGCTGTACTCTCCACTCCCCCGCTGGGAGAACGGTTCCATTTGTAGACGTACGTGTCTTGGAACATTTAGTTGGTCATTTGTACGCAGCGCGGAGTATTCATGATTCGACGAGTCTTGGATAACACAGCCCCTTTGAATCCTTTGCGATGGAGATGGAGTAACTGAGACAAGCAATGTACCACATCATAACCTCATACAAATGCGAGATTTCGACACTTCGCACAAGTATTCCATAACTTCCAGAAAGTATTGCGGTACATGTTGTTGGTTTAACAATATCAAAATGGAACCGAGGATTTGCCAGAATGCATGCAAAAGACGGAGATTGATCATAGCTCCAAAACATTGCACCCTGACAGCCTGAGTTTACTGAGCCACCCATGAACTACATATTACTCACCACCTGCACTCCTGAAACCTTCAGGGTCTACACATTGAATTTATATTGAATCATCGGACATTGCCATCAGATCCGACTTTAGTCTGACGGGATGAATATGAATTCTGCGGAATAACGCCAGCTTTATCCCGAACTATGGGTACCAGCCAACGGGAATCTCGAAGGACTGCTCCGTCAATTAAAAGGAGGTTGGTTGATGGTGCAGCAGCTAGTGGGCTTCTGCAGACGACTGCTAGAAATCAAAGTCAGCTGAACATTAACCTTACTCAACGCAAACATAGAAGAGAAGAGAAGAGAAGGAAGTCCGCAGATGGTGATAAGTGAAACGAAAATGAGAGATTGGAAGTTGATGATAGTCATGTCATGGTCAAGGCTACGGTACTTCCATACGCCACACGAAAGATACGGAGTCACAGTTATTCGTTTGTAATTCCTCCCCTCCCCTCCCCTCCAATCAGAAGCAATATTTCAACTGTATATTCCGATAACCTGGAGTACCTATACGGAGTAAACAATAACAAACAACCCACGCGAGAAACAATCGAATCAGCTTGGCGGAAATGCATATCGTACAACAATTCACACAGGTCCAAGATATCAATAACGGCCGAGACCAGCAAGAGATAATGAAAGATGGTTGTTCCTGTTGCTGTCGTTGATTGGAACCGCAAAGGATGATAAATAGAGATACCAAGATCTATGGTCAGTGGTCACCATCAAATGAGTATGCTAGTCAGTATTTACTATTGACCTTGTAAGTCCCTGCCTGTTCCCTACCTAGTGACAAGTTTCAAGGTATGATATTCAAGGTATGTTCAATGTAAGCATTCCCATACCTCAACCCCACCTTCTTTCTTTCGACCCTTTCTCTTCCTTTCTTTTCTTTTCCTACACGTCACTCAAGTCAGTCACTCATTCGTGGATTCGTTTGTTCATTCGTTCAATCAATCCATCAATCCATCAATCCATCATCCATTCATTTACTTCTTCATCAGTCACTCCCTTCACCGACGACAGAAATTGATACATACATATCAGTGCGATCTACAGTCACGGAGGGCCGTATCGCACTGGGCATATGTCGTATTATTATGCAACTGTCACCGACTGCATGCATACACAGAGCCGTGAATCCTTGCTTGAAGTTGCTCAACCACGCATTCTATCATCCACTGCCTTGGAACTCCCAAAAAGAGAGGGATGTGATTGATGATAGATGATTGATTGATTGATTGATAGCTTGCTTCCCTTACCTTACCATACATTACTGGACCTACCATAGTACCCACATACTTATATGCTGCACCACCACAACAAATCTGCATCTCTTGTTGCAGGATTGTGGGTTTCAGAAATCTTTCCGAATATTAATACTTCTTCTTGTATATGCCATCTTGCTCGTACAAGTACTTTCACTGCACTTGTTTGGTCACCTTATTCTCACTTCAACGTTCTTCTTATGCAGCTCCCCGCATACCAGGTTGTCAACATAACTGGCTCCTCATTTATATCCATTTCTATTGCTCCTTTCATTTGTTTTCTGCTATACCTAATCGCGTTTCCTGCATGCTGATCGATCTGATGACCATTGATACATTACTACGCGGTAGCTTTTTTCTTTCTTTTTTCACTTCCAAGATGCCTTCAATATCTTCCCTCCTGAAGCATAGAAACGAAAGTCAAAATGAGAATCGCATGAGCTTCAGTTTGAGCGTGACTCCAGAGAAGTTACAAAGAAAGTCGAAGCGCAACTTCCTTCGAAACCTTTTCAAAATCTCTAGCTTCTCCTCCAAAGACAAGCCGGGGAAGGAGCAGACCGTGGTAATTTACTTTTCCATTGATTCACCAGTGATTGTTTTGTAATATCTTTGGAATGACGCTGATATTACTCGTCGTTACCAGACAATTCCAATACAAACTCCCACAACCAACCCCTCAAGTCCCATGTCGAATCACAATAAACCTCTTCCGCCGCCACCACCTTCAATCGAGGAGCCTGCGTCTTCGGAAGGGATCTCTTCTAGGCCTTACAAGAAATTAGATAGGATAATCTCACCTCTTACGGATCAAGAGCTTCGCGAACTATTTTCTGGAGCTCCTCAATTCTATGCACGTTCCGAAGGTCATCATACAGGCGCACCGTATCCCAAGATAGCTTTCCCATGGGACTCAAGCTTGCAGATACGAGATCTGTCTGATCATGTGCAAATACAAGACGAGGCATGGGGTTGTATCACAGCGTGGCCGCATATCACGAGAGAAGCTCCAATAAGTCTGGAAGGTGCGAAGGTTACTGAGAAACGCCGGGCCCATTTTATGCCACGATGTCGCGAACGACCGAACATGCTCAGTATGCAGGGTATTGAAAAGGGAACTGTAGGGTATCAAGCAGCGTTGGAGTTAGGTGTGGCCGATGCGTTAAAAGAATCTGAGGAGATACAGCCTGATTCTGGACTCTATTCACTTTTCTATAGGCGAAGGGGATTTGCAAATGGTAAGGATGGAATAAGACCTCTCGATGAGTCCGCTGTTTACGAACATCTCATGGATATTGGTGTTTCTTACCACGAGGATCAAATGCATAGCCGCTCTACTGTCGAGCTGTATTCCGAGCTATTCACACAGATTCTATTTCCACCTTCTAGAGTTACCGATACAGATGATCCTTATAGTCTGCAGGTCCAAATCGAGGTTCTTGTGAAGGTCTTAGCTGAACCTAATATTTGGGTTGATTTTAGTTTTGTTGAGTGGAGAATTCGTCTTGGACAGATACTATGGGGCGAGCAACTCGAAAGTGATCTAGGAGACGGTATCTCTAGCAATAGTGAATTCACGAATGACTCCGAGGATCAAAAGTATTGGTTGTTGTTGCAAATACTACTTTCGTGTGAGTTGTTAGTACGACTTGATACAGTATCTCAGAATATCGATAATGGTCTAGAGCCCGCTAAACCTGCTGATGTTAAGAAGCTCGAAAAAAGTATGACGCCCAGTGTCAAGTGGTCACTCATCTTAGCTCGATCCTGGCTCGAAAATATCCGCATTGAACAAAGTATTTCCGAAATCATTCCAGAAAGGAAAGCTTCTGGATGGTTGGCATCGTTGACTGGAGCATCAGCCTCGGCCGAGAATAGTGCACAACCCGAAAGTGTCCAGACATATACATTCCGTGGAAGAAATGAGACTCGACAATTAGCCGGACTATTACACTTCGCTCAAAAATTGAAATGGCCTCATTTGGATAAATTGAACGAGAAAGTCTCGTCAAATGATATATATATCTCCGATAGTACTCAAAATACTCCATCTACTGGAACACCGATGTCCGTTTCAACACAAAAAACTTCCTATTTCATGAGTCAACGGCCTGTTCCACGACGAGGCTTATCAAGATCGACACAGAGAATGTCTGCTTTGATCAATTCTTCTGGATGGCTTTCAAATTCTTACATTAGTGGCCTGATGCTCCCTGGTGAGGGTCTGAGCCATTTTCTAATCTCAACATTATTAGAAAACGATGATGCTGCAGTCGAGAAATTGGGAGACGAGGCCAATCTGTATGGTGGGTTTGTATTCGACCAAAGAAGCTTTTGGAGTACAGCTTGTATAATTGGTCGAGTTCTGGCCGCTGGTAGAAACTCGTCTGAATGTATGGGATGGATCTCATCGGATGTCAAACCTAAAGGAATTTCTGGCGAGGCCTGGGTTAATATAGATGTTGATACAGCGTCACTAGAAGGCAAGTTTTCACTCTAACATGTATTGAATCAAACGATGTGCTGACCAATGAAGCGATAGATGCTACCACAGACACCCCTAGAATCCTCCAGAAAGCTGTCATTGAAAGAGATGGAAGTGTTATTGGTGGAGCAGATCCTTCATCAATACTTCCAGGTGATTTTGTCGCAGTTTATGATTCCCCGACATTGAATCCTCCATCGATAACATTTGAGTCATTAGATCTTTTCGCCGTTGATTCGGATGAGACAACTCCCACTGAAGAAGAGCCAACCCCACAGACAGAGATAACAACAGCGCCCAGTATCAAAACATATTCTGCAATGATGAGATTTTTATTGAGTCTCGATGGAGACGATAAGAAGGAAATCAATGTTGCTCTTACTCATGATGTTCATTTCGTTACCGCCCATCCATGTGTTAAATCTCATAGTATCGAAGTTTTGAAGTCCCCTACAAGTCCATTATTTCAACAAAACGGTGATGAAAGCGATCAAATTCCCGATCCGAATATGGGTATGTCTTATGTATTTCTCTAATCTTGCACAGGAATACTAACGAAAAATAGGTCACCCCCTTCACAAAGCTTTCACATACGCAATCATACCTCTCCAACACATACTCACATCCCCAGCATCGAAATCTCTTGCCTCTCTACTCATCTCCTCACCGAGGTCCCCAGTCGAAGGAGCTTATTCGGCAACTATACAGGCTAGTACTCATACTACTACAAGCAATATCCCCAAAGTTTTGGTGATAGACTGTGCCAGTACCATTTTACCGCCCTCGCCTCCTGATGAGGTGGATGTGAATTTGAATTTGAATGTGGGTGTGGAAGGGGAAATCAGGAGTGGGGAGAGAAACAAAGAATTTGGAAGTGATGCGGAAATGTTGTTAAGAGCTTTATGTGCAGAAAGAGGATGGAATGCGTTGATCAGTAGAAAGGGGAGAGGATGTTTAGCTTGTGCGGTTAGAGAGGCGGGAGCAATAGGATGGGGGGTCGTGATTAGAGTTTAGGTGTGGTGAAATGGAGGCAGGGAATGGATTGTTAGATTTGGAACAGGGAGAGAATGTGTGTTTGTGGATATCTGATGTGAAGGGATGCAGAGAGAAGGAAGTGGATGGAGAGTTATACGATTCATGATGTCATGAATAGTGTTTTTTGTTTTCTTGTTTTCACAAAGCGTTGTTAGGTCTTATTGAAGCGTTATGTTAAGTGATACCCGCCTGATGGCAAGAGGCAATTAGTTAATAGTAATTCATGAATTAAGGATGCGTGTTGATGAGTGATTGTGTAATTGCAGTGATGTCATTCGGGAAGTGGTTGTTGTGTTGATAATGTTTGTAAAGAGTATTTCTAGAGATGAATACTGGGGTTGTATTATAGTAGATGATGGGATTATGGTGGATGTGGAAGGGGTGGAGAGATTTAGAGGTGAAAAATGAGAGAGATCTTGGGGAATGGTGTGGGGGGGATTTTATTGGAGAAGGTTGTGAGATGAGAGATGAGAGATGAGGGATGATTAAGGGGAAGGGAGGAAGAGGTAGAGCTATAGAATGCTATTCACTAATTGTAGAGTTACAGT